GTTCAGACTGACTTGTCATCTTTATCCACCTACATTATTAATATGGTTCATTGCACAGTCAGCTAGATGTTTAGACTGGTATTTCCCCCCACATATGAGTCCTTCCCAAGGACCTCAGATAGACAGATGTTGTTTAATAACACTAAAAGTACCATTGGACTAAAATACACACATGGTTGGAAAAAATGATTAAACAACATAGAGATTTGAAACCAGAAATATTCCTATTAGGAATGATACCAGAAGGTTATAGTAAAGAAAATATTTACTTAATTATACATGTTTTAACAGCGGCTAGAATTGTATTTGCCCAAAATTGGAAACTTGATAAGATACTGATAGAGGGAAAAATAATTGAAAAAATATTTGAATGTGCAGAAATGAATAGATTGACACTAGAAATCAAAGAAAAAGAAGAATCTGAATATTATATGGTGTGGGATTTGTTTTACCAATGGATAGAAAATAGAATAAATTAAAAGGGATTGGATGTATTCATAGAGCAATTAGAGGAATTAGTGTAATAGACATATTTGATATTATTTACATGAGAATGTGATTATTTTTGTATTGTTAGATTTGATAAGAACACTATTAATAATGGTTAAATAATCGAAATATGTACCTAATCGATGCATGATTCAAATGGAATGGATTTGTTGTATATAAAAAACAATGAAAACTTTATATATGAAAAAATAGCATTGCAAGAGGTAAGCTACTCCTGTGATTACTTCAACTTATATAGTTGCCCATCTCATCAAGACAACATTTTAAAAAAATGATAGCCTAGGTAAAAGCCAATCTACCATAAATCAAATAACTTTACAAGTTCCAACTAATGGTCTGATCACCATGCTAGGAACACATCCATGTCTTCCAGGTTTCCAAAAAGCTGGCAAAGTCAGGAGCAAGCTAATTTTATTCCCTGAAAGAAAGTTGCCAATTACATTGTTCCAGAGTTAAAGCATGCTCCTTCTCCAGAGGCTTATATTTTGGCTTTCTGAAAAATAAAAGTGCTTAACTTTTTACCATGTTTTTAAATAATATGTGCTTTTAAAATGCTTTCAATCTGATTTCCCCAAAATGTGTTTTGATATTCAGCTAACTTTAATAGCATATCATATCACAGATTTTTTTTAGTAAACAGCTAAGGGAATTGGGAATTAGTCCAGGACTTCCCACTTAAACAAAACCAGAAATAAAATATTATATATCTCTCATTATCAGACATTACCTATAGATCTATTTCAGACACACTATTTTTTCTGGTCTCCTAATAAGCACTCATGCTGCCTCTTTTAGGCAGGTAGATATTTCCAAGCATAGGACAGAGAAATCCTGTTTCTTCTGAGAAAATATCTCATTATTTGCTTTCTTGCTTTTTAAAGTGGGAAAAAACCTCAGTAGCTTTTCAGTATCATTTCAGTTTTCATTTATCATTTTGGACAGTCTATCCTATCTAACTCTGCAAGGATGCTGAGGACTGGAAGGCAGTTGCCTGATGCTCACAGGTGCTATGAAGCCTGTGATACCACTAGATGGTGCCCACTGACTCCAAAATGATATGTTGTTTTATATTATATTTAATGTGTACTTATTTAATTTTAAAATGCTCACTTTTATTTTTAAAGAAATCTTACTAGTTTATGTTCCTTCATAAATCTTTCGCCATTTAATAAATATTTATGTTTTGGAGGCTTTAGCATTGCAGAAAATCATATACAGTAGCAATGTCTATCCTGATTCCTAATATGTACCAGCCAGAATACTCTTCTAGTAAAATCTAGAACTTTAAAAAAATTGTTTCCCCCCTCTCTCCAAGTAATGGAACTTTGACTTTGGTTATAGAGTCTAAAGCAGGGGTCGCCAACCTTTTGGACCTCAGGGACCACCACACTCATACTTTTGAACTCTGCGGACCAGAGACGCTGGGAAAATCTCCCCAAAAATTCTGCAGGAAAATCCCCCACCCCATTTTCCTACCGATCGATTGTTCTTTATTTGGGATTGCAGGATACCGTCTCCAGCTTCGTTCTCAGGGGGAGGGAGGGAGGGGGGGAGAGAGAGAGAGACTGAGACTGAGACTGAGACTTTTGGCTTCATGCAAGGAAAGCAGCAGGAGCAGCAGAAGTCTTTCTTTTTCTCCCCCAAACTCTGCCAGGAATGAGCCTCTTGGAGCAGGATGCCTTGTAGGGTCCCAAAGACTCTTTTCTGGCAGAGTTTGGGGGAGAGAAAGAAAGACTTTGGCTGCTTTTTTTGCGTGCAGAAGAAGAAAGAAGCAGCCTGGTGGCCAGGCTAGGTGCGTGGGGCAAGTGGGGAAAGTCCCCCCCGCCCTTTCTCCCCTCCCCTCACTACCTCATGTTGTTTGCAGTGCAAGCGACGGAAGCCTTGTGTTCCCACGGGCCATGTGGGCGGCGCAGCCTTGCGTTCCTGTGCAGCCTGGATTAATTGCTTTGGGGGTGACATTTCTCTGCGGACCACCACAATTTTCTCACGGACCACCAGTGGTCCCCAGCCCACTGGTTGGCAACCACTGGTCTAGAGCAGGGGTATTAAACTTGAGTTGTCATGTTGCCATATGATGTATCACAACTTTTTCCCCCTTTGCTAAACCAGGGGTGGGCATGGCCAGTGCGTGATGCACCCGACCCACGGGCCGTGAGTTTGACACCCCTGGTCTAGAGTACTGTTATACAATCTAAAGCAGGATGTCAAACTTGCATCATCACATCATCGTCACATGACGGATCACAACTTTTCCCTCTTTGCTAAATTGGGCATGGGCGTGGCCAGCATGTGACACATCTGGTCCACAAGCCACGAGTTTGACAACCCTGATCTAGAGCATTGGTATCCAAACTTTCGGCTTGCTTGAGCCACATTTTGTAAAGAGGAATTGTCTTGAGTCACATATAAAACATATAATATAGTCAATGTTTATAACTCACATAATGTTTCAGGTTTACGATCTTATGGGACCGCATTACTAGCTATCTAGGCTGCATTCAGCCCATGGACCACAGATTGGACACACGTGAAGTTACTTGATGCAACTTATGGATACATCTCAAAATGTAACATGCTTTTCTCTCATGAACTGTAGTAGTGGGAGGTGCTTCAGTCTCTTCCTAGTTAGGCTGGGCTTAATTGTGAAGACACTTCTCCTCTTCCATGGGACTCCTCCTTAGCATCCCCAGTTTTAGCTCAGCCTTCGTAGGAACAGGCAGCTTCTACTTTGGCCGGAATAGAACTAAGATTGCAGAGATTAGTAAAACCCAGGTTTGGTATTCAAATTCATTTAGGGAATCCCTTTGTCATCGAGGAAACCCAGTAGCTCCTGACGGTTCTCTTACATTATCCTTTTTTACAGGAAGTACAAATTCCCCAAGTTGGTTAAAAAGATCTTAAATTGCAGTCTTCTGACTGTAATATACCATAAGAATTCTGTCATGCCAACATTTTTCATCAGCTTTTCCCTCCTTATGATTTTCTGATATCAAACTTATAATTGCTTGACTATTGTGTGCCATCAGTTGTTTTTGACTCCTAGTGACTACATTGCTCCATGACAATCTATCCCAGGCCTATGAAACTGGCAGCCTGTGGGCCAGATGCATCACGTGCAGGCCACACCCATCCCGGCTCCGCAAAGGCAAAAAATATGCTATGTCATGTGAGGCGATCGAGTTTGACACCCGTGATTTATCCCTAACCTGTTTTTTTAAGTCTCCCAATGGTATCCTTATCGCCACTGTAAATGAATCTATCCACCTTTCTGCTCTTCTTCTCTTTCCCTCCACCTTTCCGACATTACAGTTGGGTTTTTGCATAGTATGTCTGAAATAAGATAATTTGTGCCTTGTCATTTTTGCCTCAAGTGAGAACTCTAGTTGATTCATTTGATGATCCATTGGTTTGTTTTCTTTGTTGCCATGCCTTACAGCTGCTGCCAGCAGTCAGTTATATAGGGCACTGTAGAAGGTGGAGATAATGACATCATGCATGACATGTGGCATTGCTGGTAACCCACTATAATATTTATTTTTATTTAGATATTTATTTATTTCATAATATTTACAATCCCAATGTCAAAGGACTCCAGTACTAATAAGAAGATTGGATTCAAAGTACAAATAATACAAGAAAAAATTGTCAGCCACCCAAAGTCATGTTTATGAGGTGAACAGCCATATAAATTTATTAAATGTATAAAAAAAGAAATACCTGTAATAGGCATCCAGGATAAAATTTTGGCAAAGCATTGACTGATATGTATTGAGATTATTTAGCTTCACATAGGTTCAATTTTAGGTAAGATGTTCTGTATGTAGCATTTGTCTCCAGCATTTCTAAGACAAACGTCATCCCTCTATTGTGCAATTTTATTTATCACATTTATTTGCCACTCATTTCACGATTTAAGGCAACTCTGCGATGATGAATACCAAGAGACAGTATTGAACTCAAATTGACTATTCCACCATGAACAGTTATTCCACTAATTCTGGGGTCATAAACATTCTCTTTTGTTTGTTTTAATCTTGATGTTGCATACATGCAAATGTAATTAAATGTACACTTACATTAGTATGTTTTGTAGGTATGTCAATAAGAAATGAGCAGAATCAGAATTAGTTATACAAATTATCTGCCATTGTAAGGAGATTTTAGTAGTTTTGCTAATGACAACAATAATCCATAGAATTGCCAAGGGTCAGACCTGACAGAATGGCTGGTGTCAATGAAGCTAATGATAAGAATGCAGTCTAGCTAATGATAAGAATGAAAAAAATAAGGTGAAGATACCACCTGCCAACATATTGTACAATACCTGTTTACTATTGGTAGCTCAAACTGTGGGATAAATGTTTGGAAGAATTGATTATAAGTCACTGGGAAGGCAAGTACACATGGAATATAGAAAAAAAGATTGAAGCCAGTTGCTGGTTCTAAAAGAAGACAAGGCAAGTTGATTCAAAACTTTTTTTTCTTACAAGGTTCTGGAAAAAAATCCTAACAGACCAATGAGCCATAAAGAGATTCTTCAGGTTATCCAAAAAGAAGGGTTAAAAGAGATTAGGTGAGTATGAATTATTTTCCAACTGTAAATTTTGTAAGTATTGCAGGTACAAATAGTTGACCAAAGCAGTATATGCATTCATCTCATGTTCATTTTGTGTTGCCATACTTTCTTTCAGATGAAAGAACTTCTAGATTGAAGTTCTTTTTTTTTTTTTTGTATTTATGAAAACACTGAATAGGGAACTAATGCTACTTGGTAACAGACAAAAAGACATTTTGTTCATGAGCTGGAAGGCAACTTCCTGGTTGAAGTAGTATCATTTTGATGTTATGTGCCTTAAACAGTTTACTTTTCAGAGATGCTTGGGGGTTGAAACTGAGCTATCAATCAGTAAATCATTAGTTTTTTCACTAAGCTTAGGAACTGGACTAAGTTAATGCTTATTCCAATTTCCTCTGAGAACTCAAGGCAACTTTTAAAAAGATCTCCCTTAATTTTATCCTAACAACAATTTTGTGAGGATGGTTAGACTGAGAAAGGATAACAGTCTAAAATGAACTCCATAGTTTGGATAAACTTGGTGTCTTCCATTCAAATTTATGAATATAATAAAGGAATTCTTAGCAATGTAGAGATCATGTTTGTAAAACTAACTTACAACTTTTTCTTCTACTAATTATTACGAGTATTATTTTTGAGGGTAAAGAAAGTATCAATATAGAAATATAACTTGCTTAGTAAATAAAAATTAAAATGAACTAAAAATTAGAGGAGGTAAAATCACTCATTGGAAATGATTAATGCTACTTTTTTGTGTTTAGCTTGGTCAATTTGCCTCTGATGAAGCTTTACTGCTAAGGATTTTTAAAATGTGGTCTGTTCCATTTAAAAGTCATACAGTAATGATTTAATTTAGTTAATGTTTTTGTAGATTGAAGACACATTTTTAATTTGAGATGGGATGGGGAAGAGTTACAAGATGTGGGACAGGTATACTATCTCCAGAGGGGACAAGACTAAGATTTTCAGCCCACTGTTAAAAGCAAAAAATACTTTAAAATTTGTGGCAAGCTCTTGTGACTATGTATGACTCTGGGAAGTTCCAGACCAAGAGGGCTTGATATTGTTTATTTCTTGTTTACACGGACACATCTCACTTAAAATATTGTTCTCATCACCCACAAGAGTTTGAGAAGGGTTTTTGGGGGGCTCCTTCTTTTCTGATATTCTGCTGCTGACTGGAGATGTTGCATTTTCCAGAGATTTGCCTTTAAAAATTATTTACTTTTTTAATGATGATTCTTGTTTTACTGGGTCAAGAGATGGAATTTATGTTTAAAATGTATTATTTATTTTGGTTATTTATTAATTGAACTAGGCCAATTCAGATGTTTCTATTTGAAATGCAAAAGAATAAAAGAAATACAGAACTTTTAAAGAAATTACAAAAAGTAATAAGAACATCATATTATAGTATCTTTCAGAATTTAATTGAATGAATCTGTTAGTACTGTGTTTCTCACAAAATAAGGCTGGGCCTTTTTTTTTTTTTTGACCCCCGAAAAAACAGCTAGGCCGTCTTTTCGGGGGTGACTTAATTCCCTGCCCTTGCATCCTCGGGCGGGCGGGCAACGACAGCTTGGATGTTGACCTTGGCGTTGGTGGGGCACTTCGTATCAGGAGACCTTCCGCCACTGTTGCTTTCCCTTCTCCCCGTGCTGCAGCGGTGTTTAAAGCAACGCCGCAGCATTTGGCGCATCCATGCGTGGCCAGCCAGGGCTCCTCCCTGCAACCGGAGCCCGGCGGAGACACTCGGCTTCAGGCGCTCCTGTCGCCGCCTTCCCTTTGCCTTCGAAGGCAAAGCCAATTCTTTTAAAAATGATGCCCTACTACTGGTACGACAAAGCCTCCCCTGCCCGAGAGGGCAGCCCAACCCCACGTGGGGAGGCAAATCTCCCAGGGCCACAGCGCAGGATCGGCTCACCCCGGGAGAAGCGCCCAGCTGCCATCCCTGCCTGGCGCCGGGCGGAGCGTGAAGAGCTTCGCCTGGGGCGCCCAGCTCAGCTGACTGGCAGGCCCTCCTGCCCGGTGGTGGAGCTCTCGCCAAAGCAGCGAGTGCCTCCCCGTAGGGCCCTCCACTCATCCCGCTAGGGCTGCACCAGAGCCATGCGGGCTGGGCAGAGCCGGGAAAGCGAGCCGCGGGTGCGCGCCCGCCTGCCAAGCGAAAGAGCCTGGCCAACCCAAGCTTGGCTTCCTTCCCAAGTCCCTCCAGCCCGAACCCGAAGGGACCACCGTGACAGGCTGCCCGAGGCAGTGATAGCGCCTACCCATCCATGGACAGGGAGGCAAGGCAACAGTCTGTGCCGCGTCCTCCTCTGAGCTGAGCCCCGCCGAGTGAGCGCCTCTGCCCGATGCCTGTGCTGCTGCAGCGTTTGGAGCTGCTGGCGCATTTGGAGATGTGTGGGGACGGGGACGGGCTGGGTGAGGGGTGGAAAGGACGGGCAGCTTCGGGCTCTCTCCGTCGGACCTGCCGGCCAGGGAAGCAGCACTGCTGTCGCTTCACCTCTCTGTCCACAGACGGGTGGGCGCTATCATTGCCTTGGGCAGCCTCTCCCGGTGGACCTTTCGGATTTGGGCTGGAGGGACTTGGGAAGGAAGCCAAGCTCGGGTCGGCCTGGCTCTTTTGCTTGGCAGGCAGGCACGCACCTGCGGCTCACTTTCCCGGCTCTGCCCAGCCCGCATGGCTGTGAGGCGGCCCTGGCAGGATGAGAGGAGGGCCAGGCGGGGAAGCAAGAGCTGCCTTGGCGAGAGCTCCGCCGCCGGGCAGGAAGGCCCGCCTGTCAGCTGCGCTGGGTGCCCCAGGCGAAGCTCTTCGCACTCTGCCCAGTGCCAGACAGGGATGGCGGCTGGGCGCTTCTCCTGGGGTGGGCCGATCCTGTGCTGCGGCCCCAGGAGATTCGCCTCCCCATGTGGGGTTGGGCTGCCCTCTCGGGCAGGGGAGGCTTTGTCATACCGATAGTAGGGCGTCGTTTTTAAAAGAATTGGCTTTGCCTTCAAAGGCGAAGGGAAGGCGGCAACAGGAGCGCCTGAAGCCAAGTGTCTCCGCCGGGCTCCGGTTGCAGGGAGGAGCTCTGGCTGGCCACGCGTGGCTGCGCCAAACTCCAGCAGCACGGGGAGAAGGGAAAGCAACGGTGGTGGAAGGTCTCCCGATACGAAGTGCCCTACCAACCCCGAAGTCAACGCAGGCAGCACCATATCCGGGTATGCAACAAAAGTACTTCCTAACGGTAATGGCCCCCCTGCCATTCCTTCTGTTTTGCATGTTTAATATAGGCCTTAATTTGGGGGGAGGGGCTTAATTTGATTTTATGCCTATAAAACATGCTGGGACTTCCTATTGGGGGAGGCCGTATTGTTGGAGAAACACGGTACTTTACAATATAAACTATTCCCTTTCTTCAGTACTTCATTAAAAAATTGTCAGGCATGTTTTCCTTTTAAAGGAGATTGAAAAATTCTTATATGAACATTGTAGCTTATGCTTCAGAATTGAAGTTGTCAGAAAAATAATGCAAAGATGTATCCAATAACACACAATGCTATATTTCTCCAGAATGGGTGACTTCCTGGCTTTGGTTCCAATCTAGATCAGATGCTAAAAGAAATGAAATTGTATTCAGTAGTCTCTCTTCCAAATATCAGATGCTTATCCTTGATAATTTTTCTGCTTTATAAGTCTCTTGTCATAGATCTTTCAAGCAATTTGTTCCTAACAAGCATGATTTCTGTGTAACGATATGGGCTTTGTTTTTTCTAGTCACAGTAATAAATAAATAGAAATAAAACAATTTCCACCAGAAATTAGGTTCAATAAAGGGTCATGGAGTATTTTAAGTACATATATTTTTATTAAGTCATGCAACCAACTCACGAGATATGTTCTTAATTACATTGGGAGGAATATGGTTGTAAAATGAATGTGGTACATGTAATTCTCAGCTGACATCTGTAATAATGGAGCAGTTTCAGCAATATTCTTTGCTTCTACTTAGAAGTGGCATTGATTCTGCAGCCTTTTATGTTACTGGGTTTTTTTTTTACTTTCAGTGTAATTTGGACCTGAACGCCAAAGTAGTATCTTTTATTTATACTACCAAGACTCCCCCTTAAAACTTGCAAGGGCTGCTTGATGAATTTATCCCATTCTTGTCCCCCTTGTTCTCTATATTAATCTAAGGAAAATGTCTGGTATGAGTTGTGTGGGTGGTCAGTGGAAATATATGAAAATATTGTTTTACTGATATACTTAAATTGTTATCTTGTTTTTTCCCCTTTACCCATTCTCATTGTCTCCTTCAATTTGTTTTTGGATTTTCATCTTTTCCAGAAGGTAAGCGCCACAATTAATGAATAAATTCCTTTGCACATAAGTAATGCTACATTTATTTAGCTTGCTTTGCATAGAAGCTTAGTAATAATTTCATTGCTATTAGATTGAAGAATCATTTCTCTGTGTACCTAAAGCTTCTTTGTGGGAGGCCACGGCTAGCCAGATGAGGTGGGAAGGGCTGACATTTGCCAGTCGAGTCTTTGTTCTCTTTGACCTAGAATGAAAGAAGCTTAGCATTGGGCTCTTCTACTTGGATGATTTCATCTCTGATTGACTTGGCAGGGTTTTCTGAACCATCTTGTTGTTCACTCTAGGACCTTCTGAATGTTGAATTAAAATAAAGCAGAACTGGGGATCCTTTTTTGGCCCAAAGGCGGCAATCATTTAAACCCCTCCAGGGTCATGCCAGGGAGCCGTACGGAGTAAGACCATTCTCTTCCTTCTTATGCTTCCTTTCTCCCATAGCTTTTCATATAAACTGTTCCCTCCAGAGTCTCATTTCCCCCCTCTTTCCCCCCACAGAGCCTTTTTATAGCAATTTAAACTTTTTAGATGTCTGACCAGCTGTAGGAATGGAAGGAATTATTTTTCTAGAGTGGTTCCAGAGCATGAGGAATGGAGGTTTAATCTGACCTCCATTTTATCCTTGTGCAGCAGGGATAGTTGCACAAGCATTTTATCCTTGAAATATCTTCATTGGCATCACTAACATCTTTTAAAACACTAATTGCTATATAGAGGGAGGGGCCAGATGAGATGACAAGGGAAGTCCAGTGATATACCTCTGGCTAGTGGTTTCCTATTCAGACTACTGGCATATCTACATTATGACTTTTAGCTACAATACACTTCTAGAAATATAAGATACATCCTTGACAAAGGTTGTGATTTCCACACAATGAGTTAATGAACTTACTTATGCAACCAGCAATGTGAGTTATTGCTTATTGGTTTTTCAACTGCTCCCTCACCTATGAAGAGAAGTCACACTGAAACCACTATCAGAAGCAGATGCATTTCCTGAGTCCATTTAGATAAGTTATGTGCATTTATTTACTGGTAATGTGCTCTTTGCACAGTTTTTTGGCACAATCTTTCTGTATTCTAGTTTTAGAGCAGGAATGAGCTGCCATGGCTTTTTGGGACCTGGGACCCCTTTTTAACTAGAATCCCAGAAAATTGGTGGTGTGATTTTATACTGTTTGAGACAAGAAGTACATGAAAAACATTGTTTGAATCTTCAAATGCTTTAAAAAGAGAGAATAAAACACAGCTTAACACCCCAAGGGGGGGGGGGGGGGGGGGGAGAGGAATAAGTGCTATATCCATATTATGTACTATCACCTTCTCTTCAGCTCTCTGGTTCTTCCTAGATATGAAATATGTCCTTATTTGACAAAATGTTGCCCACTTCTGTTATAGAAACAAAGGTTTCTGTTTGTACATAAGCAAATGAAATGAACTGATCCCTCATTGGTATTATAGGCTAAGGTAAATTAAGTGAATTGTCTCGTGGGAGTAAATATTAGCCAGTGCTTTTCGTATGTCTTTGGTTTCAGACTAGTCTTGTGTTTAATTTAAATCCACACTTTATGGCATATTGTGGTTACAATTTGTATATCTAGATTTCATGTTTGGAAAGCTTAATGCATTGTTCATAAATGAAAGTGATTGGTTTATGAGTGTATTAGTTGATTTTTACTGGGTGTTGAACAGTAAACAAGCACACATTGGAAGCAACTTGGAAGAGTAAAAAAACTGAACGTATGAACTCACTTTATTTTGTAATGCTGCTTCTCAGCTTTATTAAGGATGCACAACACACACGGGAATTTGCAGTTGAATTAAAGGCAACTCATTTTGGGAAATATTGTGAATTTGATGTATTTTACTCTCAAACCAGCATATTTTAATGCTTTTTTAATCCCAGTATGTCTGAAACAATGAAGACTCTTGAATCATTCCCATAAATGTCTAAAGTTTTTTTCTTAACATTTTGGTTGTCAGAGCTGCAGAAAGTTCTAATATCTCTGCTGCATTTTTAACATATGGCTTGGCATTTATGTTTAGGAATGTGATAGACTATGCATGAAATTACAGAAGAAATTTTTTCCTTCCTGGGAATTCTCTGAATAGCAAGAGCAGTTTTCTCTTTTATAATTAACGTGTATGAAAATTTAGTGCTATATTTTGCAGTATATGCTTGCTTATAGAGAATTTACTTGTTAAATTATATTGTCCATTGTCTCTAAAATTTCCCCCTAAGTGCCATGGACTGTAGCCAACCCTTATTTCATTTTTAAAAAATGATAATTTGCAAACACTGAAGAATTGTTTAGAAGTTAGTTGGATTTGAGCTTCACTCAAAATAAATAAAGTTGGGCAAGGTGCTTCTTGGATCATTTCTTTTACCTTCCTGTAATGCATAGTTCCAGCAGATACAAAGTGTGATAGTTGTGCTTTGTATCGCTGGTGGCTAATTCTTCACTTCTGTTTCCAGCGGAACTTCTCCGCTTGCATGCCTGAATGCTATGCTGCACACCAACTCCCGTGGAGATGAAGGAATATTCTATAAGGTTCCTGGAAGGATGGGGGTCTATACATTGAAAGTAAGTGAGACTCCCACTTGAAATGTGCACCCTCTTTATGATGCAGATGTTTTCAACAAATCTTCCCAATGGGGCATAGGATAGTTTTTGAAATGGTGAGTAGTGACAATATGTGGTGTATGGATTTGGCAATGTTCCTGCACTAACCTTTATGATTGATTAGAACACAAACCAATTGTTAAACATTAATTGAAAGTCTTAATTAACTTAACAGGAAGTTCATTGAGTCAAATCCATACAATCTATAGTTAGGCATTTGAGAAGCTGTTAGAAATACAAGAAACCTTCTATTGAGTTATGCCATTGATTAATTTAGTTCAATATTATTAACACTGGCAGTAGCTCTCCAGGCTTTCAGACATGGGTCTATGTTCTTGACTCAATCTAGAACTTCCACATGTTCTGTCACTAAACTAGGGTTTTTCTTTTTTGAGAATAGACTTTCTAGTAGTGTAGCATGTATTGATGAAGATAAAATGTATTATCATGAAGATTGTTTTCCAAGAATTATATTTTAACAAACTAAAGAAACCAAGTGAAGAAAACAGATGGAATGTTAACTATGATTGTACTAACAATTTGAGGTGTTTTGAGGTGCACAAAAGAACAGATGTGTGGTAGTCTCCATTCCTTGGAACTGTGGGAGGCATCTTTTGGGAATACTGAGAGATGTGGGCAGTCCTTTTTCGGATGGGATAGTATGAGATCTACTTTTCCTCTGGAGTGTCAAGCTAACCTGTATCCATCCATGTTAAATAAAAATGGAAATTCCTCTTGAGTGTAATTCCATGTGAATTCAGAGACACATTTATTTAATTATCTTGGGAGCTATATCATATTGGTTTGCTACTATCTTCTCCTTGGATTTATTTAGTTAAATTTTCCAGTCCACTTTATAGTTCTGGGATTTTTTGGAAGTCTCCCATTCAAGTACTAATCAGATCCAAATGTGCTTAGTTTTCCTAGATCAACCAAAGTTAAATAGATGCCGCCACCTAAATGGTCTCATCCATATTAGTTGTCTGTAGATAAGGTCTATATCATCTTTTATAGTTGCCTTTAATTACATGATGTTCCTAGAAGAGCATGTTCCTTCATTTTTGAACTAATAGCATCAATTTGTTTTAGAATTTAATTCTCCTTTATGTTAAACTGAAATATAAAGCTATACTTTACACATTAGATTTGTCTGCCTGTGGTTTGTATAATTCTTTCTCTGTTACCTCATTTGCAGAAAGATGTTCCTGATGGGCTGAAGGACTTGTCTGAAGGCTCAGAAGAAAGCAGTGATATACAATCAGATTCCCCCAGCTCAGAAAGCAGCAGTAGCAGTAGCAGTGACCAGAGTAGCAACAAGGAAGGAAGAAAAAGCAGGTGGCAAAGGAAAGGTAGATATTTTAAAAAAAATCTCTTCCTCCACCTCATCTCCATAACAATGTATGCCCTTCCTCTCTATTGGCTTTTATTGCAAAATCAATCAAGATGTTTTATTAACTGCAGTTGTTCCTGAATTTTGTAGCTGGTTATGCAGCAGATTAAAGCTTTAATCAAAAACTTTAACCTTAGACTGTCTACTATTGACCTCACCCCTTTCCTAAGAGGTCTGTAGTGAGCATGCATAAGCGCACCAACGTGCCTACCGTCCCTGTCCTATTGTTTCTTTTATTTTTCTTATATGTACCCATTTCATGTATTCATAACTATGTGTATACTTATACCTATTATCTTGTAAGCAATTGACAAATCAAATAATAAATAAAAAAAGTCTAGTAGCTGAAATTGTAGATGAAAATTGAAGCTTTTGTGGGTTGTCCTAGTATTGCTCTACACCACTATTTCTTAAACTTTTTTCTCTCTTGAATCATGTCCCACTTTTAAAAATTATGGAAGAGCTCAAAATAACTTTATTTGCATGAGTCATATTTATTGATACTCAGTATATTTAAAATTAGAATAGATGCATTTGCCACCAAAACTGATTCTTACAATTATTTGATGGGACTTTAATACAGTATTGTATTATTTTTTTAAACATGGGCAGGCAATTTTGACTTTTCAAATCTCTGGGAGGGACTTGGGGGAACACCAAGCATTCTAGGATCAGTTTTTAAGAAATGCTACTCTAGACAGAGCTTTGTAACTTTCTCTGGTCTGTTTCTTCTCTAAAATGCCAAAAAGCTTATAAGCTTTGAAAGCATCTTTTCACAGGTGGGAATGATACACATAGTCCTCAACTTACTGTGACAATTGAGACCAGAATTTCCATCTCTTAACTTATGTGGTTGTAAAGTACAGTTGTATTGTTTAGCAACATCAGTCCCTGCAGTCCTGGTGGCCATCATTAATTGAATCCCACAGTCAAAGTTGAAGATACTGCCAGTTGGTTTCTCACAACCAAAGTCAGCAAAGAAATCAGCAGGAATTTGCAAGTCCCATAGTGGCAGGCAGTTGGTTGTTGCCAGATGGAGGAGGGAGTGAGGGGTGCAGGGGAGGGTCAGGGAGGGTCATGAAGTGAAGGAGGGTCAGCAGGAGTGTGAGGTTGTACGTCATCCAGAATCACTTGGTTGAGTTGAATGACTATAGAAATTGAATAAATAAATAAGAGAAGTAGCATACAGGTTGGGGAGGGTGTACAAGGTTGCAAGGAGATGTGTGCGTGGCCCGAGGTTCAGGGAAGATACATATGGGTATGGGGATGTGCGATGGGTTAGCGCAAGTTAGGAAGGATGTGTGGGGATGCATGAAATGATGTGTGTGAGAGAGGTGTTGCATGGATTTCGAAGGGTGCACATGCATGAGAGGTTGTGCAAGAGACACAGGTCAGTGAGGGTATACAGGGGTGATCAAAAGGCACAGGCTAAGATGTGCAAGGCTGTCTGGGTGCATCAGAGGTGTGGGGCTGGTCAGGGAGAGGGTGAAGTGGGTGCACTAGAAGCAATAAATAGGTTGGGGAGGGTACATGGGTGTGTGAGTAGCCACAGGTGGGGAGACTTACTCCAGTGACTTTTGACTTCCTGTAATGACCTTGAGGGATGAGGAGAAGAGATGCTCCTAGAAAATACTTGACAAGAGAGGGAGGAACCCCCAGTGGCTTAATTGTCAGAAGAAGAAATTTAGGAAAGACCCGCCCTAATTGATCTGGTGTTTAAAAGTGGTGATGGGAGATTTGAACCTTTAGACTTGCAAGATTCTCTTAATGTAGCCTTACAATAAAGTAGAATTAGCTCATCTAATCATGTTTCCTGTCTGGTTTTACAGGGGTGGGTGGGTGGGGGACTGATATCAATTATGCAAATCTCAAGGTACAAACCACTACATAGATTCTTTTCTATTGGAAAATATGAGTATACTAGACATTGCAAAGGCTGCATGTAGACCAGCCCTATAAAAATGAAAGGCAGTATTGTGGGGCCTGGAATCTAAGTATAACATCTTTTGCAGTAGCAAGGCAATAATGCAAAGCAAGGAAGTCTGTGTCATTCATTTGCCTTCGGTGTTTCCTAGATGGGAAGGGATTTGATTATTAATTATTTTTCTAAAATCTATTTTGGAACTTACGTTACCCTTTGTGCATTTCTGCTCCAAAATAATAGGAAACCAAAATGTCAGATTTTAGCAGTTATGATCAGAAATGACTCTAGTAATTACTTTAAAGAATGGATCATTAAAATTAAAAAGCCTCAGGTGACTTACTTTTTCCTAACTCAAATGAGAGACCAATTTATCCACATCACAGTTTAAGCTTTCTTCATTCAGGAATTGTCCCCTTCTGTATCATTCTGACCTCTCTTTAAAATTAGAAAGAGGAATTCCCACCCATTGATCTCAGAGTATGAACAACTGTAGAGAGGTTTGTTGTTTATTTAACAATTTTGCAGTATATAGCCTCCCATCTCACATAATAGGACATTGGACAGTATACAGAGTTGGTCCAGATCTCAGTGCCTTTCTAGAATAAACCCCTCTCCTGCTGACACAACAGAATGTCACTTTCTAACACTAATTTTTTTAATTTAACCTTTTAATTTTAAATTTAATCAACAAACAAGATTGTCTCTTTTCTCAGAACGATGATAAGCAAAGAGAGAATTAGTGGCAGACTATGTATCAAGAATATTATATATTGTACATTGTACTTTGTGGCACGTATGGCTCTAATGTGTTTTTATAGGCAGTCCTCAACTTACGACCACCATTGAGACTGGAATTTCTGTCCTGTCATAAATCATTGTAGTTGTATGTCAAGTCATACTCAATTTTACGATAATTTTTATTGTGATTGTTAAGCAAATTATCATGTTTCTGAAGTGAATTGTGCTTTTTAAGAAAATCATGTAGTCATTAAGCAAATCCAGCTTCCCCCAATGGGCTTCCCCAACCATGGTAAGAATGGTAGCTATTTGTAATCTTGTGATCACAAGATATTGCAACCAGTTGTGAATGCAAACTGGTTGCCAAATGCCCCTGTTGTGATCACGTGATCCTGGGGATGATGCAATTATCATAAGTGTGAGTATGCATCTTTTCCATTGTAACTTTGAACAAACAAGTCAAGGATTCCCTGTATATCCTACAGATATATGCAGCAACATATACAAAGAGCAGCTTCAAAGGAACTATTTGGTCCTACAGTGGTTTCTGAATGCCAGTAGCTTTACAACAGCTTCATCTCATGTATGTATCTCTAAGTTGAGAAGTTAATCACAAAAACTAGAGGAAGGTTGCAATACAAGATAAATAATTATTGTTGACAAAATCGTAATACATATTTTCAACGCTTCTCTATCAGGATTCTCTTTAAAAAGGAGACATATACAGTAACTTTTTGGGATGGAATATGTACCTGGAGAAGCAGTGGGGGAGATTTTTGACAACGCAGAACTTTCTCAGAGAGAGGCCTAGATTAAGAGACTATGCAGTCACAAGATCGATGGGGGATGGGGGGAAAGATTCGGGGTAGCCACATCCTAGAATCTCTCAAGATCTATCTAGTAGATTAGAAAGTTAATAGTTTAATTTGGTAACATGCTGTTCATTAGGTGTAACTGTGTAAGCAAATAAAGGATTGATCTCAGTTGGTTGGGTCTAATACATTTGTACTTGGTATATATAACTGTTAAGTTGTGTTTATCAAATATTCAATCACTCATATTGTTCATATACTGGGTTAAGAGCTGTCTTTAAGGAAAAATGATGGCACTCAAAATTTTTCATCCAATCTTGTGCCACCTTTGGAAAAAACAGTGGAAAAAAAGCATGTGCAATTTTTCCTCTAGTAAGTAGGTAGCAGTTTTTCCTGCTTTGGGCCTTCGGTGCTACTATACTTCAGCATTAATTTGCAATCCAGGCTAATGGTTCCTTTTTGCACAGATTAAAAAAAAAACTGTTGAAGACTAACATTTATTTGCTTTAAACCATAACTTCTTTCTCTCACTTAGTACAATAATAGACAATGTTTATCTCTCTAAGTGTTGCTGAATTTTAGCTCCTCTGAGTTGGAATCACATGGCCAGCCAGTGGTGAGACAAAAGGGGAATGCACTAGTTCTAAAAAATTGTGCAAAAGACATTTTGTTATCTAGAGAAGCTTGGTCTTGCAGAATGTATAAAATCAAGTTACTGAAAGAGTCTGTCTTGTTTCATTAAGTTTTGTACATAAAAGAATTATACAAAGAACCTATTGAGCAAATTTCTTACATTTATACCGCTGCACTGGAGTATTTTAAACACTGTGGTTGTATCTCAGTCCTATTTTGATATTTTAACTGAAGATTGTTGAAAGTACAAAGGGGATGTAATTAATACAGAAAGAAGTATCAACAGGGTACATGACTTTCAAGTTAGCATGTGGCTCTGGAGAGGATTGCTTTATTGAGTCTTGCTTCAGTTACAGATTGCTAACTGTTTTGAGGCTTGGTAATAAAATTAATGTGCCAAGTGCTCTTTTATTAGAGTGGGGTCTCTTCCAACGTGTGCCAAAAAGGCCTCAAACTTACTTATTTTCTCAATAAGAGTATACTTGATAGTTTGTCTTCCCTGACCCAAGGAGCTTGCAGTTGTTAAGGGAACCATTTTACCATTCATAACTTGGAAATAGATGGAAAGTGCTGGAGGTAGAAGGAATATGCTGGATCTAATAGAGTCACACTGATTGTGATTCCAAACACTATAGCTTCAATTGTGGTACTGCTAAGCTATGCAGACCAATAATGGCAGTTATTGTTTCGCTGGAGTAGCTTACAAAGTTTGGTGTAATTCTTTCACTACCAAGCACGTGCAAGAAATATACTGACGAATCATCATACAATCCCATAAAACATAATACATCCAGGACTCGAGAAATATTTTTATGCCCCTTCATACATATTTAAAATGTTCTTGGATAGATT